GCAATGTTTGAATGTTTGTTTATGGGCATGAGGCCACCTCCTCCTTTTCTCCAGTATACATACAGATCCTGTTGGCAGTGTAAAGACAATGAGAGAAACATGTGCATTCACAGTGAGAGAAAGAGACAGACATTCACACGCACACATGGAGATACACAAGAGACGCAGGAGTCTTAGAACAAGCTAAACAAAACAGAAACCTGATACCATCTCGGTGTCCCAGAAAGTGGGTTAGACTGGATCTTTAAAAGACATGAATGCTAGACCTAGTTTTACTATCTAACTGTAATCTTTAGAAAATTAATTTAACCCTGGCCTCAGTTTTCACCTATAAAATGTGAGTGCTGAATTAGATTTTTCTGAGGTCCCTTCCAGCTTTGGTGAATCACATGTGAGCTGAGGTTTTTCCACCACATGGTTCCTAAAGATGATAGAACAAGCAGATCGAATGTGAACTGTGGTCACCAAGGCACAGGGGGCAGTAGGAAGCCTCTGAAATCAAATTCCTAGGCCCAAATCCAGATGTGAAACTCTGAGCAAGTCATTTAGCCTCTGTGCTAAAGAAGAATTCCTTGGAGGGTTATAGCATCCACCACCTAAGCTGGCTGTGAGGACTGAATTATTAGTACATGTCAAGTACTTAGAACACTGCCTGGGACACATGAGGGTCTGTTTAGCTCCAATGTGTATCCTTTTCATTGTCAGTGTCACTGCTTGAACTCTTGGAGCACTGTGCTATGAAACTGAGGTGGTGATGATTAATGTTGGTAAGCTCAAGTATATCATTATTAACTTCTATACCGAGCATAAATCCAGAAAATCTGGTATCCTGGCATCTGCTTTGATGAGCACAGTACCATGTCTCTGAATAAACTACTGAAAGTACGGGTCCAGCAGAAGTAACGCCTGCCAGAGTGTGGTTGCTAGGGCGGTAATGTGCATGAAACAATAATTTATGGTTTTAATTTGAACATTTCACCTACAGTGTCACATGGTAGGCTGGAGTGTGATAGTGTTATGTTACAGAATTAATTACATGCTTATGACTTTGTAATAAAAGATTTTGTAATAAGGAAGGGGCGTTATTTGTGCTGGACTCTGTATTTTAAATGTTGACCTTAAAGAGTGTATTGACAACTTTAGATAAACAAGTATCTCGACCCCTTAACACTGTCCTGATTTCTTTGTGAGTGCTCTGTTGATATTATATTTCAGGGTCCTGAAATTGACAACCTCTCAAACTTCCAAAGCCATTCTGTTTTGTAAAATGCTATCTACAGGGTGGCAGGAAAAAGCAGACTGATAAGACAGAGCAAGGCATTCTGAGAAATGTGTTATGGCACTCGTGGGAAGGGGAAGGCGTGGGCATAGTTGCTCTAGTGTCTTTAAAAGCTGTAAGTGGTTAGCACATTGTATTGGTTTGCTAGGGCTGCCATTACAGAGCACAGCGCCACAGACCCGGTGGCTTAAACAGCAGAAATTAATCATCTCTCAGCGCTGGAGGCTAGAAGTCCAGGATCTGTCGGCAGACTGGGTTCGTGTGAGGTCTCGCTCTCTGGCGTGTAGAGTTGCGTTCTCCCTGTGTCTTCACGTGGTCTTTCCTGTCCTGTGCTTGCATTCAGATTTGCCCTTTGATCAAAGACTCCTTTGAGATTAGGACCCACCCCAACAGCCTCACTTTAACTTAACCACCTCTTTAAAGACCCTGGTTCCCCATGCAGTCACAGTCTGGGGTCCCGGAGATCAGGACTGCAACACAGGAGTTTGGTGGGGCGGGGGAGGATACGTTCAGCCCACAACATGCTATCACACAGACACATAAAGATCCAAATAGTCCAGGAATATTTTTACCTTCAATTAAGAGAACATTGATTTGATGTTTGTAGTAAAAGCTTACATTGCTCAGTATTGTAGAATTCAGTAGAATGAGGTTCGCTTGTATATGGTGGTTTTAGAACCTTTGTAACTAATAATAGCAAAAACAGCTCCCTTTAGTAAATGTGTAAAAAAAATGGCTTTCTTCATCAGAAAATTATTTTCTAGCAGCACTTGGACACATTTTTCTTCCCTACCCTAACCCTAAAATGCCAGAGCGGAATGAGAGGCACAGTTTAGACCGTTGTCACTCTTTACCCCCAAATGGATAAGCAGCCCTTCTGGAAAACCGGAAGCGCCAGACGGTGGGGAAACTTCTATCTTCTGAGAAAGTCAAGGGAACGTGTCAACACCTCCCACCCCCAGATGGGAGGTTGCTGTGCATCCATCTTTTAAATAGCATTGCTTTTTGTCCGTATTAAGTATTTATAAATGTGACACATGTGTTTTGTTTTTTTTTAATTTCACATACAGGGTCCAGCAGGAGTAAGGCCTGCTTGAGTGTTGTTGGTAGGGTAATAATAGGGGTTAATAACTTACAGTTTTAATTTGGACATTTCACCTAAAATGTCACATGGTGTGCTTGAGTGTGATATTGTTATGTTACAGAACTACCTGCGTAGGATTTTGGGATAAAAGAGTGTGTAGTAAGAAAGGGACGCTGTCTGTGCCGGACCCGTGCCCTGGGTTTCTGAGGAAGCAGTGTCTAGTGGAAAGCGGTCACACTGGTTCCTGTGTTAGTGTTGGCTCTTTGGTTTGTAAGAATTCTCTGGCCTCCTACATTTTGGCTTTGCGTCTGTGTATGTGAAAGAGTCTTTACATAATTGGAGCAAATTTGCTTTGTATCTTTGCTCATATCTTATCACCGATGCTAAAAGCTTTCTGAATGGCTTGAATCTCAATCACTTGTAGGTCAAGTATAAATTCCTTACTTATGATGTCTGAGTATATTAAGAAGCGATTTTTATCCAGTTTTGTAAGCATGATCTGTATAAAACAACTGATTTGTTTTTGTACTAGCCAAGTTGATTTAATGTGTGTATGTGCAGATTTTTTTAGGTGTTTTATTTCAGGAAATATCTAAGCATGTTGAAAAATGATATTTTCCCTCTTTCATGTCCCGTGTCGCCCTCCACTTAGGAAGTTTCACATGAAGACACACACACACCCAGGTACTGGGTAGACAAACATCGCACTTGTACTCCACCCTGCCCCGCCCTCTGTTTACATGGTTATGGAAGCTGTTTGGGGTGTTTCTTTTTCTGCTTCCGAAACTCATTGTGGTAAGAAGGCAACAAAGCCTGCTGTCCCGTAGAATTAATTCAGAGTTCCAGAGCCAAAGCTGGGACGTACTCAAGAAGGAAAAGGCACAACCAGAACCAGAATGAGTGGGGCCTGGGTGCTCTCCAGGGAAGGGACAAGGTCAGAAGTTAATGAACAGAGCCCAGGCGCAACAACGGACTCCCATGGCAGTGCCTGCGCTGCTGTGTAGAGGTCCCTGGAGGGCTGCCGGGAGGCTTTCTCGACACCCACGACTCGTGGCTGTGGGCACAAGGAAGCGGGTGTAGAAGAGACTCAGCTCTCCAGGCTGCTGGCTCTGACTCAGGGAGCAGCGTGAGCACAGGCCGGATGGTGTGCGGGGCAAGCCCATGTCTGAAATTGACCGGTAACTTCAAAATAAGTTTCATACTTAGCCCATAAAGAGGCTAATTTTCTGAGTATTAAACATATATATAACTTTGTCTTTTTTATCATATATATGTGTGTGTGTATATATGTATGTATTTATGTATATACACGCACATATATATGTGAATTTTTTCATTGGGAAAACTATGGCGCCTAATTTAGCTACGGCTAGCTGCGTCCCATCCCAGTGTATAACACTGTACCCAGACAGCTTGTCCACAAGTTCAGATTTATAGACCGGCATTCCTCAGACAGAAATATCTGTGTCTCAGCTCTCAGGAAAGGGAAAGTTGGGTCTCAGATTCTAACGGGGAATGAGCTGAGCATCTGGTCGAAATGATCTTGTCTTTCAGAGCTGCTTAATGGATGATGACAGTGACAAGTAACAGCTCATTGAGAAAATGAGCAGAGTGCGAGTCTGCAGGCTGCAGTGTAGCACGCCAGAAATCTGGCGGTCGTGTTTCTGACGATAACCGAGAAGTCAGAAATGGGCTTTTTCTGAAGATCCTGGGCCACGGAATTTATGTATCGGGCAGAAGTTTGGGGCGGGGCTTACTCAGTGGGTTTGCCTGCACACTGGCTCTGTGCTCTTGTTACCGCACGATAGACTCTCGCTCCCTCCTCGGTGGGGAGACTCGTCAGTAGGTCAATGACTGATTCCTGGTTGGAAGACATGAGCCCCTTTGACACTGTCCCTATGTGACAGTCAGGTTTCAGCAACTCAGAGAGGCTTTCAGGCCTTGTAAAAATACAAGACAAAAAATCATGTTTCATCAAATTAAATTTAAAACCTATCTCTCTCTTTTTTTTTAAGTCTGCTGGGTCCAGTACACTGTCAGGACAACATTTAAAATGCTTTGTATATAATTCAACATTTAATATTTGAAAATAAATGGGAAAAAGTAGAACCTTGGGATGAATAATCAGCCTTATAGACAAAATCAAGACGGTGGCAGGCGGGTTCATCAGTTTACTGATTGGCAGGAGGTGAGGGGAGGAGAACCTTCCTCACACGACTGGGCACTTGGAACAGGTCGGTTATGCTTAGGTTATTTTTCTGAGTCCATTATGTGTAAGTCAGGAGGGCGAAAGCAGATGGGCTTCCATCAGTTCGGGGAGAGAACGTCAGCCTCTGCTAGAGGCTAGTCCTTCTCAGGACTAACCTCACAGGTTAGTCCTTGAAATGACATCTTAAAGTGAAGAAGGGATCGGGTGCCCTCACCCTCCCTAACTAGAATCGCAGAGGGGAGTCGAATCCCTGGTGTCTTCGCTGTGTCACTCAGCGTCACCTGGAAGAAGTGGCACTTCCCCCTGTGTTTTTTCAGTCAGCCTACAGCTGTCAGGCCACCTCCTCATAATGACAGTTGACATTCATGGGACATAGAAACTGTTCATAGTGTGGGCACATAGGCAATAAATTTTTTATTATCTTGCAGTGTTGGACGCTTTTCACCATGTTGACAGCACCTTAAGTACATTTGTCAATTTCCCCAAGTTTTAACTGAAGAAAACGGTGAGAGTTTATATTTGAGGACTAAGGTGTGACCGCCAATTATCAGGTCAGTATCACCCCCTTCTCTCCCCACTCCATCCATCCCCAGCGGTCTGTTGCAATGTCTTGTGTATGGAGATTATATTCAACTGTAGGAAAAAAGCAAAGAACTGCTAAATTTTAATGTTTATACAGAAAGGTTACCGGACTCTGCAGAAAGAGGGCTGTTGGTGTTTGGATCGTTACACAGCTGTGGCCTTTCACCCCCTCCTGTGTCACATTTGTGCTGGTTTCACTTCATGCAGACACCAAGCTGAATGGTTGGTACACATGTGAAGAATGGTCCAGGTGCTAAAATTTGTGTGCAGACGTGATTTACAGATGTAGGGATATCAAGAATATTGTTCTCTATGCCATTGACCAAGAATAGACTTTTCCTGCCTAGGCCAGACTGCTTTATAATTAAAGTGACGCTAAAGGTTGTTTCACTTTTATCCTTTTGTAAGGAGATGTATTCATCACAGTAGATGGAAAACTTGGTTTAGGTACAGTCTCTTTTAGTTCTTTCTATACAAGGGTGGGCAAATACAGTTTACAGTTAGGAGAATGTGAGACAGTTTATTATTATTATTGCAGTATTTACTTGTATTAAACCTGTTTATCTCTTATTTAATCGAATTCTCTAACAAATCATTCTTGATTTTCACCCATAAGAAGCTTAGAATGGCATCAAGAAGGACTTTAGAGATTATCTAGTCTAATTTTTTTTGTTTTTCACTCCATAAATTTTTTTTTTAGTTTAATTGGTGTGTCAAGTACAGTTTTCTGCCTTTTACTCCCATCCCAGTCCTCCCCACTTCCCTCTCCTTTCCACCCTCCATAAATGTTTTTCTTTACATGATTTTACTCAGGCTGGTCTGTCTGATTCTCCCAGTGAGGAGCCAGTGCCAGAGCAACTGGGTCATCCCTTCCCCTCCAGGCCACGCAGCTGGCGGGGCGGAGCGGGGTCGCAGGGTCTGCACGCCTCGCTGTGGTCATGTCCTGCCCACGTCCCACTGCCTCTAGAAGCCAGTTTTGGATCGCTCCGTGAGAGTGTTGACGGGCCGTGAGGGTACTGAAGGAAAAGTAATGTGCGGAGACACTTTCAGTTGTAACTCTGTGTCCCGGTCCCTGTTTGGTGCCTGTGCACCCAGGTGACTTCAGTGCAGTTGGTGTTTGTGGGGTCCCCTTAGCAGTGTCCGTTGGCCTGTTTGACACTGAGGAAGGGAATAATCCCATTATTCCAGATCTGGAATAAAATGATCAGGTGTGTCCTCTGCCTTATCTCTCCGAGAGAGATAAAAATGTGAAACCATCGGGTGCATTCAGGGAGGGTTCCATCTGATAAAGCAGGTGACTCAGCGGGCAGACCCTTCACTCCGAATGTTATCACCCTCTTCTGGTTTTCTTTTTTAAATGAAGGGCAGCTGAAGTTATTTTTGAGGTCATTGGTCTTGCCTGCCCCCAATTTTGGTAATACTTTTCTTTGACTTCCTTTGGAGGATAGTAGTTACTAACAAGCCACTGCAGCTTGTGTCAGGAACTTGGCGGTGTTTTACATTTATCATATTAAGGCAGTTTCGACACTAACTGTATGAGCTAGAGATCATCACCCCCCTTTCATAGGTAAGAGCAGTGTAACTGGGAAACTGGCCTCGCACAACCAGGAAGGTGCGGTCCTGGCTTCTCTCTGCAAAGCCACGGGCTGTGCCCAGCATTCCAGCTTCCGTCAAGTTAAGCTTTAGTGGGTTTGTTGTTGGTTGGTTTTTTGTTCTTATGTTAAAAATCACTGCTCTGGGATAGCTCCCTCATATTGACGTAAGAATCACTTCCTAGTCTTAGAACTCACTAGTTAGAAAGTTAGCGTTTTAAAGCTCAAGTTACGTCGAACGCATTTTACCATGTTGCAAATGATTCGTACAGCACATCCCGGGACATAGTCTAACAACACAGCAAAGTGTGAGTTTTCTCCATGTTTTCCTTCACCTGAAGGCAGGAGCTCTGGAGGGAAGCAGTGAGTCTTTGCGTGCCTCCTAAAGTCGGTGTGCTCGTAAGAGTCCAGGGTGTGTGATCAGGGGGCCCTGGTGTGATTTCTGTCCACTCTACAGAAAATTATATGAGATCAGTGATTCGGAAGTAAGAAGTAGGAGAGGGAAATGAGTACTTGCTCTGCTTTGGAAGTTATAAAATGTATTTTACCATAAATGCTGGCCAGAAGACCCTAAAATAGCCTTCTGATTTGTATCTACGTGTGGTGTGTGAGAAGTTAATCTTGTGGAAAAGATATGAGCTTGTGCCATTTAACATATTTCAAAAGGAGCATGGCTTTATACAAATGTGAACTTAAGTGAGATGCATTTAGTAGCCTGGCCAATTAAGATGTTTAAAACAATATATTTTAAAGGGGTTATTTAAAATTTTTTAAATTAGAATGATTTTTTTATTTATTTATTTTTAGAGAGAGGGGAAGGGAATAAGAGTGGGAGAGAAACATCAATGTGTGGTTGTCTCATTTATGTCCCCTACTGGGGACCTGGCCTGCAACCCAGGCATGTGCCCTGACTGGGAATTGAACCAGTGACCCTTTGCTTCACAGGCCCGTACTCAATCCACTGAGCCACACCAGCCAGGGCTGTAAAATTATTTTTTCATATGGTTGCATCTAAGTCTTATTTTGCTACATGAAATATAAATATTGTGATAGATGTCTCTGTTAAAGTAGACGATTTAAAAGAAAAATTTTTCCCATACTCCTACTGACCATTATCTTTGCTCAAATTCCATTTCAACCAATTTCAAAGGGACACCAGTTTTCAAGTCTGGTTACCTAAAGGTAGGAAATCTGTCTATGGTATAACAATTTTTGGTGGAATACTATTCATTGTAACACAATTTCTAGTGGGAAAAAAAAAACTAGTGACTAAGTCATTCTGAAACCTGGGATGTTTATAAATATGCCTGAAGGAAAAAATGATAAAAATTGATTTTTGTGAGTGGCAATGAAATCAATAAAGGGAATTTTATTTTCTCAGAGCATTTTGTACCATAATTGTTGCTGTTGTGTGTCTCTTATTTTTCTTTAATAATATCAAATTAACTCTACCTTTGGAGATGGTGTGATTTTTGTCTCTATTTTAGGCTTTCAGGATGAATCTGGAAACACTCAGCAAGCCAGAGCTCCTAACACTCTTCAGTATTCTTGAAGGAGAGCTTGAGGCCAGGGACCTTGTTATAGAGGCTTTAAAGGTATGTCATCATATGTTTTGAGAGTTGTTTCATTGGTTGTAATTTATTTAACCAGAGTATTTCTATAGCCCTGTTGTAGTTAGAGGCCTGGGTATACTCATTGTGACTTAGAGTGGCAGCCACCTATGGGGTGTGATTTTAGGGACACTGAAGCCTTTCTTGTCCCCGAAATAGTTCCTTTAGTCTCTGGACCTTGAACTTCATTCTTTAGCTCAGTGACCTTCACTGTGTTTGAATGCCATTCTCTTGATAGCTTGATGTGGCCCGCTTCCTAGAGGTATATACGCCCATAAAGCCCAGTTCGGGATGTGATATCTGCGAGATCAGGGACCCCATGAAGACCACTCATGGATTTGCTAGGCCGCAGAATAAGAATTCTACTGTTGTTTCGGTATTTGGTGCCCTTTAAAATATAAGGGGGTGGGCCATTAACTGTACATTTTACCCGATGTGGCTGTAAGCCTCAAACTGCTCGGAAAGACAGTCTAATTTTTTTTTTAAATACAAGGTTGGGAGGTGCGCAGGAGGACAGCTCCTTCCCAGTGTCATAAACTTGTACACCTAGGTAAGGATGTTACCTGTCTGTCGCGAGATAAGGTCTGGGGACCTTAACGGGTGTCTGTGAGTAGTAGGAAGAGGACTCCCCCAAAAGGAGAGGGGACGGCCAACAAAGATGAGACTTGAGCGTGCCGAAGGAAGCAGAGTCCCCTGCCGAGTGTTACTACTGAGTCTGAGTGTCGAAGAAGTTTTTATGGTTTAAAATTATAGTTAAAGGTTACATTGATGTGCATCCTAAAGCTCATTAGGTTTATGAAGTGCTTTACTGCATTTTCCCAAAATTACCCTAGCTCTTTATATTAAATAGCATGTTAATATGGCATGTGTGTTTATACGAAGCTCCTTGTTGAAGGTTTTTTATAACAAGGTAACTTTCTCTTTGCCTCTTCAGGAGGCTTAGAGAAGGGGTGACTTCCTGAGTGACCAGCTGGGGGCGGGGGAGGGCCTTCCTGCGGAAAGCTGGGTCTCTTCCCCCGCTGGCCTTCGCTCCCTTCCTGCTCTGAGATAGAGTGACCGGGTCCCTCTACTCGTGTCTGCGTAGTCTTTTCCTGGATTACTCTGAAATTACAATTGTGATAAAAATATCTAAACCTATTATTTCTGTGTGCTCTTAAAGTTAAAGTGACCTTGATTTATGTTACTTAATAAGACTGACTGGAAAAGACGCATTTCTGTCTAATGAAATGTGCTTCGGGGTAACTTTTCACTGAAAACTGTGGCTTGTTTGTGTTCCCTTGCAGCTTTGTGATGTGTGAAAGTCATTTCCAGTGGTTTTGTTTCTCCAGAGTGCATGAGGCAGTGCCCTTGTGACATGGGGGCACTGTCTGTCTTACTGTCCTTTCCCTACTTGCTTCGGTCTTGTGACAACCCTGTGGTTTTTGGACAAAAATCGTATGTTTATGCCTTTGACACATGCGCAGTCACATAGTGACTACCTGAGGTTCTTTGCCTGAGTCTGCCTGTCTGCCACTGAGCATAAATGTGTGGCCTCAGTCAAGCCAGTCCCTCTGTCTGGAGCAGAGCTTCCTTGTCTGCAGCACGAATAAATGGTTAACAACTAGTGTCGATGTGCAGCGTCACAGTTTTCACGGCGCTGCAAGTGCTCTCGTGGTGTCGGGTTCATGTCTGTTTCCCCTTTCTGTGTTCAGTCAGCCCATGTCCTGTTCCCCAAATCTAGGGAAGAGTCCAAGGTTGTCTTCATTTGAACGCCTGTCTCAGATGCCCTCAGCGATGCCTCATTTTTTAATGACTCCTCTGCCAACATCTGCTACTAATATTATAGGTCACTCTGGTCGGTGACGCATTTCTGTCACATCCACCTACACTTCCCCTCTGGCACCAGTGGCAATTCTCTTCCTTTCCCCAAGCACTCCATTCTCTTTCTCTGAACCCCGTCCTGCCATCACCAGCAGCCCTGACCTGCCGAAATGCAGGACACCCTCCTGTTTCTCATGCCGTGTTTGTCCGATCAGTGAAGAGAAGAAAGAGGAGGGGGAAGTTCGAGCTGGTTCCTGACCCTTGTTCCCGGTGCATGTTGTTTTTCCCACTTCCTTCCCCCGGGTCTCTGCAACTCCTAGGAGGAGTCTTCAGCTCAGAACTGGCCGGGTTTCACTCTGCGTAGGCAGAACCCGGAGGAAATTTGTTCATGGTGCCCCCTCGTAAAACTCAGAAAGCAATTTCCAGGAGGAGCAGTAATGCAAATAGCAATCAGAGTTTATGAAACTACGGCAGTGCAGCGGTGTGCCTTAGACTCGCCTGCGGCTCTGCTGCCGTGTGTCCTGGGGCCCCAGGGAGCAGGACCCCAGTGGTAGCACTGCAGACTGGCACAGAAACCTGCCTCGGCCCCTTCATAGCTAGGGAGGGGGTTAGGGGTGGCTGCCTTCAGTGGAAAAAATCAAAGGGAGACCTTGTTTTCTCTTTGCTTTTCAGCCTTAGAAAGCTACAAATCTACAAAGCTTCATGTGTCTTTTTTTAATCTTCATATCCACAGCATTCAGCATAGCACATAGTATATAGATGCTCAATAAATATTTGTTGAACAGAGGAAATGATTTTGCCATTGTGGCATATTGCTTTAAAAGATTGCCATAATATTTCAAAGTGAATGTTGTAAATTACTAAATTTTACAGTCTGCTCTTACGTATGCTGTAACGCACTGCCTTCTGGTTTTAATGTTAACAGATGCTTAGGTGCTTGGTGCACGTGTTTTCCTCAAATATATTTTTTCTGCAGGAATCCAATTTTAGTTACTTTAGGCAGCCTCTGACAAGTTGAAAGAGCAGCTTGAGAAGCAAGAGCTATAATTAAGGGAGCATTTTGATATAAGATACCATTCAGAATCAGGCACAAGTGTTGTATTTAGTCTGTGCAAACAGCCCAGAGGTAATAAAGTTATCTTCTGAGGCTTAAGCTGGGTGCAGTTTCAGTGAAATGAATAGCCTCACCAGAAGTGATGTATCTTTAAACAGTCTATTGTTAGATAAAATAAATAGCAGCTGGGGTCCAAACTGTTTCCGTCCTTTAAAAAAAAACCAGCAACTGCTGTAACAGGGTTTCAAAAATTAAAACGAAACCTCATTTTATTTGTGAAGTCGTTTTTGGGTTGTTTTGTTTTTGTTTGGATTGTGTAATATGTCGGGATTCACTGCATTAGTTCCATAGCTCTTGCTTGACAGCCACCACCTGATCAGCTTCCTGGGCTAATAGAGCAGCTTACTGCTTCTCTGCCTCTTAGTGTTCTTTCTTAATTCATGCTCAGTGGGCCGGAAGGGTTTTGGTCTGTGTTCTAAATAGCTGGGATTGATTTGTTCTTTCTGTTTAAGTAAAAATAAATAAATAAAAAGCTTATCTTTTTTTGTCTTCTTACCTCCAAAATAGATTTTTTTTTCTTGGACATAAAATCTAGGTTCAACCTTGCACCTCTGAACAAAACCTTATTGGCAAGGCTTGGGTTTACATAGGAGTGTATTACAAAGTTCCCACAGTGTGTGCAAAGACCCTACCGATAGAGTTGTGATTATGAAAGAGCTTCATTCATTTTCCCAAATTCCTGCAAAGTGCCAGGTGGCATCTATACCCTTCTACAGCCCCCACAGTTATGTTCCCTTTTTTCCCCAAAATATAAAAGCCTCCTCATTCTTCTGTCACAGCCAAGACTCATTTGGCAGAGAACCCAGGAAGCCAGTAAAAAACATACTCAGCCTCTTCTGTATTTGAAGTCTGATTGTTATACAGAGGCCATTTATACTGTATTTGGTCCTAATTGAACTTTCCATAAAGTGATTTTCTGTTTTAGAAGGGCTTACGTCACAGAAAAGCATTCTTTATGAGAGTCTCCCTCTGACCACTAACTGCCCCAGGAGGCTGGGGCGGAGTCACCCAGTTCAGCCAGACTCTCAGCTCACTGATGGCAGGCAAATCTAGGGAATGCCTTCCCCACTCGGTCTGACTGCTGCAGAGGAAGATGAGGGGACCTTAATTAACGGCCACTTTTAAATTTGGAAAATAGATCTGGCTGCTAATAAAAATTAGATTAAATAGTTCATTTTTGAATCTCCCACACTGGGTATGTCTGTACGTCTTAAGTCTGATGCAAAGCTACACTTCTCTGTGACTAAGTAGAATCGGCCCTGTATTGACTAGTATCATTTTATTTGAAAGCATTCGTTAAATTGGTTAAAGAGTAATAAATATTAAAGTGTTACAACTTTTATGTAGAATTAGCTTAAGAAGTCTTGAATTCCTTTCCACTGATGTCTCAATCATAAAGCAGGTATCCCTTTTTTGAAGCTCAGGCTAGAACTTGGTTGTTTTTGGCCGAAGGCCATTGCAGAATTCCCCAACCAAGATTTACAGACAAAAACATTATAGGCAGAACAGAGTTAGAAATATATTTAGAGTATGAGACTGTAATGTGTCACTCTGGTTTAACTGTTTTGAGTTTTTCAAGCAGCCTGGTGTTATAAATAAAAACCTAAACATTACATGTGAGTCTGAGTTGAAACAGCGAATCATTTGCAGGCAGACAGCATTGTACTGTGTTTCACAGTTGATGCATTTCTGTATAAAATGACGGTTTGGGGCAGCTCTACCACAAAAGATTACGACTCACTGAAGGCTGAGATCATGGTTAACATTTTTTAGCAATAAAGTATTTTTTAATTAAGGTACATATATTGGTTTTTTTTAGACATAATGCCGTTGCACACTTAGAAATGTAAATATAACTTTTATATGCACTGGGAAACCAAAACATGCAGTTCACTCACTTTACTGTGATGTTCACTTTATTGTGGTGGTTTGGGACCAGACCTGCAGTAGCTCCAAGGTGTGCCTGTGCTTCTGCTGAAAATATTCTTAAAATAATAATAAAGTGCCAGTGACATATATAGAGCAAAACGAAAGTTCATATGTAAGATGCTGTAGCTCCACACCACAAACA